CCATATATATCTATCTGCAAATCTCATATTTTATGGTCACAATTAAAAATTCGTACTTATTCAATAAAGAATATTAATTTTGGAAATTAATTTTTATATTTCGGATTGTTCAACTTAGTGATGATTTTTTTGTCCATATTTATCTAACTACAAAATTTTTTAAAGTTTAGAAAAAATCTCACATTATATGGACTCTTGGTACCTATTTTTTGTACACATACATTTTTCATCTGATATCCAAATTACAAATTTTAATGTGCTCATATTTATTAAATACACACACACACACACACACACACAATAGAATTTCTTTTATATGTATATATATATATATATATATTTTAGAAAAGCATGACGATTCATATACTTAATTTTATCATATATCATGTGTTGGATGTTATTAATATGGTTGGGGACACTCATTCTATTCAAATAAATAATATATAACTTTTCATATTTTGTATTTATTTTCTTGCAAAAATGAGATGTTAAATATAAATAATTATGTTTAATATAAAGTTTTAAAAAATATTTTTAGTAACAAGTCCGTCCGTACATAGCACGGGATGCGCACTTGTTAGAGAAAAAAGCAGCAGCCAGACACCTAAGGAGAAAAGAAAAAATACGCCGCAACATAAAGAAGCAGACCTGCATGGACAGAGGACAAATACGAGGAAGTCGATAAATTGCGGGGGCAGACCGCACCCGCACACGAAAGGGAATAATTTTATTATCATTCTTTTGTTATTTATTATGCTAAAGTTGTTTTTATTTCTAGCTCCAAGGATGTTGAACCCTATGTACTTGGCTACATTTAATTAATTACGGTGATAATTATTTTGCTATTTTTATGAAATTGTTTGTGTTACTTTTTTTCTTTAACCATGATGTGCTTGATTTTATTTAAATTGATCGTCTAGATAAGATTATCATCTCTATAGCTAGAGCTAAACCTTCAATCCGTAATTGTTGTTGTGTTTAATTCGTAAGTAGCAATTGATAGTCGGTAACTGTTGGGGATAACACGACCTAATTAAGTGAACCTCGCAGTCAAATTTTGGCGTCATCGCTGGGGAGTGGCGTAATTGAATTGTGATTTTTGAGTACTAATTGAATTATTTTGTTATGATTTTATTTTTATCATCATTTACCACCCCCCCTCCCCAATATTTTATTGATCTTATAATTTCAATTAATACGAAAAATATGACAATTTAATTAATACTCCTTGTGTGGTCGACTCTTACTTGCCGTTACTACTAGTTAGTGGAGGTTAGTTAAGAAAAAATCACAAATTTTAATTTTTCGCGTTGCGACACGTGGTTAAATTTTGGCGACGTTGCCGGGGAGTGGCGTATTGTATTGTAATTTTTGAGATTTTTTAGGATTTTAATTTTATCATCTCTTATCCCTCTCTTTTTCCTTCTTTCTATTTTTTTTTCTTATAGAGTACTGGGCATCCCCATACTCGTGGGAATAACTACTCGTTAGAAGTGTTTGGCTAGCTTGGAACATTTTTCAATAATGGCAGCCTATTGTCACGACTCTTATACCCACCTTGCACCTTACCAGTATGAGAGGGAGATAAGAGGCTCATGTATTAGAGATCGAGATGAGTGGTTAAGTTCGATTCCTCAGGGACACATTGCAAGAGGTCATCAAACGCAACCATGTGCTCACTGTGTAACCACAAGGCATTCAACCTACGAGTGCCCAAGTTTCTTTGATGACTTTGCTGTATATGAAGGTGTAAAAAGATCTAGTGGTTTGCGAAGGGACGAGCAAGACTACTTGTATCCCGATGAGTATGAATACAACTTGAGAGAGCACTCGAACTCTTTCCATGGGTACTTCGAGCCATCAACCGTGCAAGATTCTAGTTCGTCACTCGAAGAAATAGTGAAGGCGCTGGCGGATAACGCCCTTAACGTTCAACAGGGTGTTGAGAGGATACAAAAAGAAACAATTACCAGCATAAAGAAACAATAACTAAGCATCAAGAATTTAGAAGGCCAAGTATGCCAGTTGGCGGAACTAATAGACCGACTAGCGTATCGACTCGAAACGAGTCTAATGAGTTCGAGCGTCATCTATTCATGTAGCGAGGACCTCGAAGAACATGAAGAGTGCGAACACAAGCCAGAGAACGAAAAATCATGAATGTAAAGAAAACGGAGTCAAAACAGCTCAGTATGGGGGTGATGTTAGTGTGTGTATTGAAAGCTTGGCTTTAGATGTTATTCACACTATTTATTTGGAATGAGAATTCTTGTTTGATTAAATAAAGTTCTAAGTTCTGTTGTTTTTCATTCAGATTAATGGTTCATCACGGATGGACATAATATCATTTATCGATTACTTGTGAAACATAAACAACTGATTCACTACCTAGACGAAAATTGAACAAGCCATCAGAATGGTTGTGGTGTGAGCACTACAATCTGTCATGACTGATTAGTCACAATAGTACACATTGGTGTATTGACTGGATCCGAGAGCGGAGCACTTCGTTTTATACTGATTGGTGCCTCAGCTGATTACTGTGTTCTCTTAACCCGTAAGATATAAGCAAACACATGTATGTACTAATTACTATTTTGATTCAACAAGGTGAGGTTTATTAATATGGACCAATAACTGTCTGGATTGGGTATTGATTCCTACGTGACATAGTGTTATGTTATAATATTAACGGCCACCATGTACTTCATGATGACCCCGAAGTGATTTCAAAAGAATTATTATGTTAGACCATGTAAGTGGATTAAATTTTAACATAAATAATAATGTATTGAATGGTGTTAGCTTCGGTTCAAGAAGTTGATTAACTTAAATATTAGTACTTAAATAAATTGACACATTATATCTTAAACATGTGGAGGTAATTCGAGTATTTTAGGAATGAAGCTCAAATCGTAATTTGGGAAATTGAGAGAAATTCAATAATATTACTTTAGTGGAATTACTTTATTGTTCCTATTTGGGCTTAGTAGGCTTGGCCCACAATTAGGCCCAAATAGGGGAAACCCAATTTAATGTCTCTTTTAGGGTCCTTATTGAAGTCTATAAATACACCTCTTCTCTAGTCTGCCAAGACATACAACAAATAGAGATATCCAGATTCTCCTTTCCACCAAGAGAGTTTTAGAGGTGTTAGGTAATTCAATAAAAGATCTTGAGGTAGTCGAGCAACCGAGATATCCCGAGCACCCGACCACCGTCGGCCGCCCAACACCGTCGTGAGACGACTCGAATCCACAGGCGATCACCCGACGCGACCCGCTCCCTCGTGCGCCCGATGACGACTTGCTACCTCCCTGCAATGCCGAGACCCACGACGTCACAGTTTCCAATGACGCGACCCGCGATCTTCTCGCGCCCGGTGACAACCTGCTGCAGCAACCCGACTCCGAGCAGACCCGCAAGACCCGCTCAACGCCCAACAACCCGACATAATCATCTTATGTCAGTTTATCTAGAGTTGGATAATTCAAGTAATATTGTTCAAACTATTGGACAATGAATATAATTATTTCTTTTAAAGTAAATAATTAAGTTCATACATAATTATCTATTGAGACATGAACTCCGATATTCATAACTTTGAAATAAATTTATTAAATTCTATATGGATAATTCAAACAATAACAAATAATTATTTGTACAAAGACTTAATTCAAAAGATAGCACATTTATCAGTATAGATTAGTTTATGTATAAATATATTATAATCTAATATGGATTACAAATAATATATTATAAGAATACAAAAAAAAAATACAAATGATTTACCACTTGATAAAGTAATTATGCTTATTATTGGAGATATTTCTCAAATATCTAAATTTCGATACAAGTATTCATTAATTTGGTTAAGAACAAATTGCAAAACTTACATAACTAAATGTATAGATTTTTATTTTATTTTTTTAATAATGTTTTTAAAAAATTAAAAAAAATACAAATAGAGAGACAACGAGAGAGATAAAAAAAATAAAGATATATTTGTCATAAATAGTGTAATTTATTCAAGTAAAGGGAATATTTTTTAAAAAAAAATAAAAAAGTACCATCTAGGGCACTGGGGATGAACCTGTATATCCATATAAAATATATGTCAAAAATAGTGAATAACCTTTACTTGGACAAAAAAAAAATATTTGAATTTTGTTTCCTTTTACCGATATCAACCAGGAATATGAGAAAAATAAAACCAACATTTATCAACATTTTCTCATATTAAAGATTTTATTTTGAAATCAACTTTAGAAGTAACTCTAAATTTTTATTAAGATTAAATTTGTGCAACTAATATTAAAAATTTAAAATTCAAACAAAATATAATATAGTTTGTTCTTTAAAAAAATATATCTTAACCTTTCATACCATTTTAAATAATTTTTTATAATAGGAAAAATTCAATTGTAGATCAAGTATTACTAAACATGAAATTTACGTGAAGTTTAAATTTTATTGCTATATTTTATTTGTATTTTAAAAACTCTCAAATTATATAAGATCAAAGTTGACATAAAATATATTAATAACACACGTCTAGTGTTATAATTCGGTTCTTACTTTCGGTTTTTCGGTTCGGTACGGTATGGGACGGTTCGATTCGTTCTCGGTACGGATATTTGAAATCTGCAGAACCGTACCAATTATTTTTTCGATTCGGTTCGGTTCGGAGAAAGTCAAACGGTCAACGGTTATTTTTTGATTTGAAGTGATTTCAGTTCAGTTTTCGGAACGGTTCGGAATTCTCCGAGTACCGTGTTCAGCCATTCAGATGCTACACACATAACAAACTTTTTGCATTTGTTTTTCACCCCACTTAAAAGTTAAAACAACAAAGGGAAAATAAAATCTGAAATATGAAATATGCTAAATCAACGGTCGAGACGTCCATATTAATCAGTAGATCCGACGCTCTTGAATTTGCCACGTGTCGCACCATTATCATCAACAAAATTGGAATTGCGGCCCATTCCATCCCTTTCATTTTTCAAATCCTGAACCCTAGTTTTCCCAATTCTCTCGCCGGCATCACCCCTTTCCCCAAAATCTCCGAAGTTTACTACATAACCGAAACATGTTCATCTCCAATTTGATTGACTTTGGGGAAACGTTTTAATTTGAATCTCGACTCGGACCCTAAATTCGACACCACAAAGCTCTGATCATCAATGGCGGGAGGGCGAGCTGAGCTGAATTCCCACGGCGGCGCTACCGCAACGGCGGAGTACCAAACGGTTTATGTCGACACTAACCTTGACACTCACTTAGTCATGCTTGTCTCCAACTCTGATACAATATCAGATTTTAAAGGTGCTTGTTCACTTAGGCACATTGGATTTTGCATCGTGAAGTGAACTTTCTAATTGATTTCATGCTCATGTACTAACTACATTGTTTATCAACTGTTTCGATGACTAGATAGAATTTCAGAAATCTGCATGATGCCTTGTAACTGTTCCTCATAACCATCTTACAGTAGATGTATGTGAGATAGAGAAATTTTTTTAATGCATTACTTTGAAACATAAATGTAACGTATTTAACAATTTTATTCAATCCCAATATATTTCAACAAAAACAGGGAAAGAAGAAAAAAAGTAGTATTGTATTATATGATTGTCCTAATCAGAATCTATCGAAGTTGTCAAATTTGGTTTATGATGGTTGCTTCTTTACATTAGAGGAATGAACAAACATAATAAACTCGAATGGTACTAACAACTCAAATGAGAAAATTAACAGCCAGACACTAGCCCATGTTATGTGCTTCAATTGATCTTTATGATGCCTTGTCAACATCCGGAGAAATAGTTAGAGTTTTGGCCGTGGCTGTCATTCGCTTGCGTGGTTTCAGATGTGCATGAAGTTTCTCTGGCTTGAATGGGTTCCCACACACTAAATATTATCAAAGTCAAGAAACCATTTATGTATTGTATATGGATTTAGTAATATTGGAATAGTCCTAGGTGCAAGCAAGGTAAATGCTGCCTGTTGCAATTATGCAGCATCACAAATACTTGCATCTTTCATCAGCCAGTAATTTAGAGGGAATAATGAAAAAAAAGAGAAACATATGTTTGTTTCAGATACTTACCAGCAGTCAGACACATTAATAGGTAAGTAAGTGGCAGATGTTGTTGTCTTGTCTCTCAAGTCACTCTTGCACTTGATGAATCCTTAACTCCATCAAAGCTCTTTCTGTCAAAACGAACAAAGAATTACACCGTCAATCACAATAGATACAAATCATATGGTCGAACACTTTTTGATTAGAAAGAAAAAGGGCATCACTTAAATTATGTTCAATAAGAATAAACGTCATAAATTCATGTAACCTTCCACAAGAAAGTAGTTTCTGTTGAGTTCATTTACGTGTTGTGAGTACCCTCTGAGACCCTCCGAGCTCTCCGAGCTGCCCTTGGTGATCACCTTTGCAAACCACATTTCTGAAATCACTCGACTGCATGTTCAAGAAATTGACCCTATTGTTACTAATATTATTATTATTCTGCTAATAAATACCACATGATGAATTAATGAATTGTTTAAAAAAATATAAAAATATAAATGAATGAAGAATAAGATGAAGAATATCTTGAAATTTCTTAGTTGTTGATAGCCTTTATATTTTCTTATGCATTTCTTGGATGCAGAGAAGATTGTGGTGGAGCATAGGAAGTCTTTTCCTGAGATTGGGTGCACGCTTGTAAATTCTATAAAGGTATATTGTGTTGTTGCTTTCTTGGTGTGATATGCATTTTTATATTCATGGTGATGATATTTGTTACTTGAGAGCAGGTAAAGCGTGAGATGAAGCTTTATCATGTTACAGATGCTATGCTTGTTTGGAGGGCGTTTGATGGGGTCGAAGGGAACTGGGTTGTTTCAGTTGATGCTTCGAGCACTGGTAAGTGCCGTGATGTATGTACCATCCCAATGTCTTTGCCAAATAGTGGTATCAAGAAAGCTAAAGCAAAGAAAAAGAAGAAAAAGGCAGCCCGGAAGAATCTGGAGAAATCGGGCACTGAACAAACTTATGTTGCTGCAACGGAAAAAGACATGGAGAAGAAGTCTCAAGGCTCTCCTGGTTACCAGACAGAATTTCCTATCATAGGAAAGGATAATCCTGAACGAAAGCCTGAAAATTATGGTGAAGAAATTAACTTCAAGCAGGCAGGCCAAACCACGAGCGATATTGCTACTCCTACTGCTACTCCTGCCGATTTGAAGGCTGACCAAACCACGAGCCAAATCACGTGCAATATTGCTACTCCTACTGCTACTCCTGCCGATTTGAAGGCAGGCCAAACCACGTCCAATATTGCTACTCCTACTGCTACTCCTACCGATTTGAAGGCGGGCCAAACCACTAGCGATATTGCTGCTACTACTGCTACTCCTACCCATTTGAAGGAACCAAGACAATCAAATAAAGAGATGAAAACTATGAAAGAACAAAAGAAGAAGAGTTCACCTTCTGTAAGCATACCAACTGAGTCTTCTTTGCTGAACAAAAAGAATATTCCTTCTAAGAGAAAAAATCCCGAGGAAGTTCTCGGAAAGAGAGGTGACAAAAGGTCACAATCAGGCCGGATTGTAGTCAATAAGAAGTCTCAAGGCTCTCCTGGTTACCAGACAGAATTTCCTATCATAGGAAAGGATAATCCTGAACGAAAGCCTGAAAATTATGGTGAAGAAATTAACTTCAAGCAGGCAGGCCAAACCACGAGCGATATTGCTACTCCTACTGCTACTCCTGCCGATTTGAAGGCAGACCAAACCACGAGCCAAATCACGTGCAATATTGCTACTCCTACTGCTACTCCTGCCGATTTGAAGGCAGGCCAAACCACGTCCAATATTGCTACTCCTACTGCTACTCCTACCGATTTGAAGGCGGGCCAAACCACTAGCGATATTGCTGCTACTACTGCTACTCCTACCCATTTGAAGGAACCAAGACAATCAAATAAAGAGATGAAAACTATGAAAGAACAAAAGAAGAAGAGTTCACCTTCTGTAAGCATACCAACTGAGTCTTCTTTGCTGAACAAAAAGAATATTCCTTCTAAGAGAAAAAATCCCGAGGAAGTTCTCGGAAAGAGAGGTGACAAAAGGTCACAATCAGGCCGGATTGTAGTCAATAAGAGCTTGCTTAGCAGACCAGTTTTCCGTGACAACAGCAGTGAAAGTTCGAGTGGCAAAAATGAGAGCACACATTCGAGTGGCAAAAATGAGAGCACCCATTCGAGTGGGAGCAGCAGCAGCAGTGATAGTGATAGTGATAGTGATAGTTCAACCACGTCTGATGACTCTGATGGTATGTCTACTATGGCATTACTTTATGTGTGGGCAAACTTTGCTGTAGGTTGTACTTCCTAACCTCTACCTCTAGGTCCGTATGTTTTGTGGGGAAGCTTGTAATGTAGACTTGTGTGAGTGTGCATGCCTATATTGCTTATTTTCTTCACTTTTTTTTTTCATGTGAGTTAACAATCTTATGATTTTCCAGAGGACTCGGTCATTTTCCTTATAAATGATTTATAATATATATGTATAATTTACGCGGAAGAAATTGGGTTATGAATTATGATTACGTGTCCTATTGAAATGGCATGTTAAGCTGATGGAAGTTGGTATTAGTTCTGATAATGAGATGCGGCAATTTAATGAGATTCTTAGTAGAAAATTGAAATGCTTTGATTTATTTACTCAAAGCTCCCTATGTTGATTCTTGTTATCTGAACAAGACTTGATAGTGATATCCCCATGTTTGTTTTAATCACAGGACCCACTAATGCACAAGGAAAATCTGATGGTGATGGAGAGAAAGAGTTAGAGTAAGTCAATTTTATCATCTATTGTCTACTTCATACCTTTAAGCCTGTATTGACACTTCTGACAATTATTTATCTGGTTATATTACCCTTATCAAATAATGGATAAGCGTCTGACATGTCTTGCTTATGAGCAGTTTAGTCGATTAAAAAGTAAAACTGTGGTGTGTATGTTCTTATCGTTACAAACATAACTTCTAACATAGAGAAAAGATTATGTCATATTTATACGACAGGTTAGTTATAAGTTTTTTATACCTGGAGTTTCAGGAAATTATTTTTCGTGGCTTGTGATTATTGACATAGAGAATGCTTTCAAATACCCGACAGGGAGAGTCTTATATGTTCCAATAATTTTTATCCTTCAATCATTGCTCTTAAAATCAAATAGGTACCATAGAAATTGAATGAATAGAAATTAGTTTTCCTGTAATCTATAGTTGGAATCCTAAACTGGAGGTGAAATTTCAGAAGCTATAGGCCATAATATCATCAAAGCACGAAAAATAATTTCAATTCGACTTGCTTTACTTCATGGCGTAGTTTGTGTTATGCTGATTGTTACTCAAGAATAGAGAAGAAACCATTTTACAAACGGTCTCTTTCATATTCTTCAACAATTTTTTTTTTCAGTGTGCATTCTTAATGTATTCATGTTTTGAGGCTGTTGGGCTTTGTTGTTTACTCGGTAGAATTTACTGTTGTTATTGCAACAGATACTTTCGCTCACACAACATTACATTGGAGATGATTCTTAGAAGCTCTGAAGGATATAAGAAAGCCCTGGCTGCAGCAAAGATGAACGAGGAAGCTGATAAAGCTGAATTTGGTCCTAATAGTTAACATCCGAGTATGGATTTTGTGTTGCTTTAAGCTATAGTGTAGTTTGAATTCTGCTTAAGCCACTTTTAAGATGGTCTCTCTTTCTCTGTGTGATATTATTATTATTATTATTATTATTATTATTATTTTTATTTTTTTTTTCCTGTGTGTTCTTTTATTGTTTTACCCGAAGTAGTGCTGTAAACGAACCGAACCGAATCGTACCGAACCGAGCTTGAGCTGTTCGAGCTCGTGTTCGTTTACGTTCGGATAGCGTTCGTGTTCGTTCGTTTATTTTTCGAGCACAAAATCGTGTTCGAGTTCGTCCGTTTAATTGCTCGTCAAAGTTCGAGTTCGTTTGTGTTCGAATAATTTAATGCGTAAACTTTTTAAATATGTTTGATTAACTCGAAATTTCTTTGTTCGAACTCGAAAATAAAAGAATAAAATATAAATAGTTTTATATTTTAGATTTTTTATTAAAAATATTATGTAAATATATATATAATAAATAAAATTATATTAGATTTTAGATTTTTTATTAAAAATATTATGTAAATATATAAAAAAAATAAACTTATATTAAATTAATGTTCGCGAACATAATCGAACGAGCTCGTGTTCGTTCGATTATTAAACGAGCCTAGTTTTCTGTTCAAACTCGGCTCGATTAACAAACGAACGTGATTTTGTCGAACACGAACGAACTCGAACGAGGTTTTATTCGCGAACGTTCGGTTCGTTTACAGCTCTAACCCGAAGAGATGGTATGGACTACAATGGCAATGTTGCTATACTTACTAGAATGGTTATGATCATTTTAGGCTGCCTAGAGAGAATTTTTTTAATTTTATGGTATTTTACCTGAAATTATTCCTTTTACTTTTTCTTGGATGTTGCATATATTAAATCTTGTATAAGTGTTGAGACAACAATATCGTCATTTGGTATTTTGAGTTGCTCACTATTTTCTTGATTATACTTTTCAACATGAGGGTTGGATAATATATTGATCTGAAATCTGCGGTTTCTTTATTTATTATATCTTCTTAGTATGTTTGTTTGTGCATTATGAATCACAGGTAAGGTAAGTCGGAATGAATAATCGTGACATTGTGAAGTTTATATTATAACAAATAGACGGCAGCCAAAAGAAGAATAATAATCTTATGTTATTTTACGATGAACCAAAACTTAAAAGAAAACAAAGTTTTTGTACATAGACATGATTATGGTAGGAAGGTTCAGTAAGGTCTAATCTCTTGTTTCTTATTTCCTTGAAATGGAGATATATAAGAAAAGCATTCCATTTTAGATTCATAATTAAGAAATTTAGATGATAAAAGATCATACCTAACATCTTTTTGATTTTTTTTTTATTTTTTATTTTTTATATTATCTAATGAATAGAAAGAAGCTATAAGTAATGCAACAAGGAGAAAATAACTAAGGAGGAGAAGGAGTAGGAAAGTTCACAACGTATTTTAATCAATAAAAGCAAACACAACAAGATATTCTGAACTACAAAAATCAAAATCTACCAGAAAACTTCTCCTCTTCCCTTCCATTTCAGCCCCAAACATATTTGCAGGAACAACTTGTGACAAAACATGTTTGAGAACCCAAAGTCAAAGCTCTTCTTTATGCATTTTGATAGTGTTTAATAATTACATTGTTTTCAGTTTTCTGAAATTCATCATTCTCAACATATGACATCATATAATTATTCAATCATTGGTTTGCCAATTCAGTTGTGTATGTGATTTCCCACACATAGGCTACAAAATTTGAAAAAAATTATTTGGAATATCTCTCAATATCCGATAAAAAATAATGATAATAATCATGTTAGCTGCGAGCATGCATACACAATTGGGCTATATTTTCATCAAAAAATCTTGAAAGGTGATTGTTAGAAGTAATTATTTTTCTAAATTAAAAATTAGGAAATCTATGTTTAAAAAAAATCATAAACGAGACAATAAGTGTGAGATGAAAAGATAGAAAGGAAGTCGGTGGGGGCATAAATCTATTGATCTCTTCCGTTATGTGATTTTATTTTTATTTTTTTTTATCGTAAACAACTTAATTAAATGACACAATTACTAAAATAACTAACTAATAATATTTTTTATGATATAAATATATATTTAATCTAGAAAGGTATAATAAGCATGGAGCATCTAACCACCTCACGATACCCTATTCCTACAAGAATTTAGCTATACCAATTTAACTCCTAATATTATCCAAATCATACAAGAATTAAAAATTGAGCTATACCAATTTAACCACTAATAATATCCTAATCCTACATGAATTTGTATTTTTTTCTCTCTCTCCTTTTATATATATACTAGCGCGTAGCCCGTGCGATGCACGGGATGGTATATTTTCCTGAAATGTTTAACGTGTGAAATATTAAAAATCATACTACCTCCTTTTTAAATTAGATGTCGCTTTGACTTTTTTGATTCATCCATTTTGCTACGTATCTAGACATTAAAAAATGTCTAGATACGTAGCAAAATGGATGAATCAAAAAAGTCAAAACGACATCTAATTTAAAAAGGAGGGAGTATAATTTATATATATGTAACAAAAATAAATGGATTGCAAAGAAGGAAAAAAAATATAAATTATTGAACACTTTCTTTGTGAAGTAAAATTTGTGAAGCTTTGATATATTTGATTATGAATAGAAAAGTATGAAATACTACCTGCTGACCGTTGAGATAGATGAGAAGATTTACTTAGAATATATAGAATAAATATTGAGATAATGATTTACCTTTTACCTAGTATATATAAAATAAATATTGACATGATGTGGGAAAATTATGACGAATTATGACATAAATTCGTTTTGAAGTTAGTAGAAAATATTCAAAAATTAGATTTATTTTTTATTTTTTAAATCCTTACAGTAATTCGTACGCTCCTTTTCATACGCTTAATTTATCAATTTTACACATACAAATCAAAATTAATGCAACTCGAAATATTATATAACAAATAAAATGAGATTTTTTATCTAACATTTAGTATATTGCCGGAAAATCTTTTATAAATCTTATTCTCTTTTTATGCACATAGATATTAAAGAATGAGTAAAAAAATTATCTAAATATGTTTAAAAGTATCTAATATTATATGTGTTAACAATGTTACAACCAAAACACATTAAGAATACGTAGACTATTATATAACATATGTGAAAGTATTAAAATATTTTATATTATTATTGAAAAATGTGAAATTACCTCAATTATGTCTAGACTATTTTATAAGAAAAATATATATACTTAAAGTTAGCATACACACATATATATATCCTTAAAATTTGCGCAACTAACATGTTTAAAAGTATATAAAATTCTATATATAAAAACACATTTAAAGTTTACATATTTTACAAAAATTAGACTGCTCTCAGTTTATATAAAGTTTGTTGCTCTCATATTCGGATAATGCATTTAATGAAAGCACCTACGATACAAAATTTATAAATATTAATTAAAATAATTTTCTAAATTATATAAAATTGAAATAACAAAGGTAAATATTACCTGTTCATCATGAAAATGCGTTACAGCTCTCCCGTTCGTGATGGGTTTCAATAATGCGGACTGCTCTCAAAAAAAGTTTCTTTCTTTTGTTAACGGAATCAAGTGTACCCAGCCTAAGAAGCATTATATGTGATGGATTTCAATAATGGGGACTGCTCTCAAAAAAGGTTTCTTTCTTTTGTCAACGAATCAAGTGTATCCAGCCTAAGAAGCATTATATTGTCGATGGTCTCTGTATTTTTTTGTTGGTCTATTTTTTTTCTCTCAACTGGTGAATGATGAGTTGTAATGGTGGAAGTGAATATTTTTTATACAATTTTTTTTTCTGCACATTTCAATTGACCAAAAAAAAATGGAAGATATTGTTTTTATTCACCAAAAGTGATTGAAGATAATTATGGATTGTATTTGGATAGATATTAAATTCCATGATTTTTGGATGCAACAACAAAATATGAAATTATATGTATATATCTTATCACGTTAAGGATATATCCATTGCTAAAAAAAGAGAATATCTAATGCATTAATTAACGGAATTATCAATTTCGTATTCCATTATCACGATTGTTTTTTAAAATTTGAATGAGATTACATAAATAGAAAGTCAAAAGTCAACTCAATTTATTTTAGGTTTATAAAAATGATTTTTACATCAACCTTTTTAGATATATATAGATATATATATATATATATGTATATACTAGCAACCTACCGGCTGTGCCTAGCACAGCCGGCCTTGTTTCATTAATCTTTGTTAATGCAAAATTTTTTCAATTTAATGTTATTAATTATGTAAGAATAAATGACAAAAAATAATGGTATATGTCTATTGGGTTTCATTGCATATAATAATAGGTCAAATACAAAAGTTTCTCTTTGTTTCTAAGCCCAAACTGCCCAATAAATGTGGACACGTAAAATAAATGAGAGACGTTGATATCATTGACGGATATCTCGAGGAACAAACATTTTAGTTCTTTCTGCAATAGTGGTAGTTCATCTGGGAGAAAGAAGCCGAGCGTTGGAGGTGGTAGGGTTGAAATTCAATTTACAGGTATGACATGTTTNTGACGTAATTTTTTTTCTGTGAGGGTTAAGATTTGATTGTACATGGCGTCTTTATTTAGGCTGTTTATTTATGTTTGATTAGTGTTTTTGGTGTAAAAAAATATGTGGTTTTTTGTTTTGTAATGATATTTGTGAATTAACTTATTTAATTTTTGCAGAATTAATTTCAAAAAAGTGGGATCCAATCTAGAAAATTATTTTTGTAATTGGAAAAAATAATATATTGAAACAATAAATAATATATGGCACTAAATACACCGCATCAATTAGCGTCAACCTGATATACATGAAACTCATATATCAAAGTAATCAACTAATGATCAAGAATGGGGTAATAACTTGTTATAATGATTTTAGTTTCTTATTTGATACTTGACATGA